GACTCCTCCGATTCGATTCGATCTCGATAGCTTCCGATTCGGCTTCGGCTTCGGATTCCGGTCTGGGCTCCGATTTTTCAACGGAGGCCTGCTGGCCCGGCGATTTCCGCCGAGTCGATTCATCCCGACTCTCGGCGGCGCGCCCGGGCGGGAAGTGAGAGGGGGCTGGCCTTCTCAGAAGGCCCGGAAGCCCTCCGGACGTCGAAGAAGTTGTCCGAGCTTCCCCCGAAGACTCAGAATGCTTCGCGGGAGGCCGGAGGGTTTCTGAGAAACCACGCCGCCTCCTGCGAAGGCCTCCTCCCCACTCCCCCCGCGGGCGCGCCGCCGAATCTCGTTTTTGAGTCATAGCTCGGGTCTCCAGCGGCCGTTCGGGGCGTCTCGGGCACGACTGGAACGCTCTCGGCGAGGTGCAGCCGCTGGAACGCATTCCGACACTGGAGAACCGCCGAGGACCGACGAACACGTCCGAAAACTTCGAATCTCGAACCCGAAAAGACCCCCGACAAAAACTCACTCGCTCGCCGCCGAGACTCGGCCGCCGATTTCCGCCGATCCGATTCGTTTCGATCGCCAAACCGACTTGTCGATTCGATCCTGGGCTCTTCCCGCGCTGCGCGGGGGCGCCAGAGTCCCCCCCCCCCCTGCAGCCTGGAGGAGCAACAGACTTCGAGTAGGAGCCTCCTGCCTCGTTCTCCTGCTCCTGCTTCTCCTCCATCTCCGGAAGTTTACAGTTTATGCAGCTCGTTGTTCCTTGCGGTTCTTCGGAGAGTGGCGAGTCGAGACACTGGAAACTCAAGATCGGCTCGAGAACGTCTCAAATCCGTGATGGCCTGCGCCTCAACTCGCCCTTCTCCGAAGACCCCCCCCTCGGGAGAAGCAACGAACTGCATGAGCCATGAGCTGTCGGGGGCCCGCACAGACTCGATCCGATGTTGTGTTGCCAGCGTCTCAGCTCGACCTTCTCCGAGGACCCCCCTCTGCAGAAGCAACGAACTGCATCAACCATGCACTTTCTGAGAAGGAGGAGAAGCAGGAGCAGAAGCAGGAGCAGGAGCAGGAGGAGCGGGAGGAGGAGGATGAGCAGGGGATGGAGGAGCAGGGGTTGGAGGAGCAACGGACGGAAGAGGAGGAGGAGGAGGAGGAGGAGGAGGAGGAGGACCACGGAGGCGAGCCCGCGACTTTCCCGCTAGAGGAACAACCAACTGCAGGAAGCATAAGCTTTCGGATGTCCACAGACTGCGTATGTCCACGTTGGGCACCCCCTGGCGCGCGACGGGAGATTGCGGCCCTGCGCCGTCACATAAACATCGCGCGAGCCCCCGAACTGTTATCATAGATCTATGCCGTACGTGGGGCGACAACGATGAAAGAGCACTCGGATGTAGAAAAGTGGCCCACGCTGGGGAGGCAGGGCTACGCTGAGCTATTGAATCATGAATATTTAATGAAATAATATAATTATTGCGGTTGGCATTATCATCCTTATTCGTATGTTCTGTCTTGGTTTAACTATTCGTCGCACTCTTGTTAGCATTATTGCTATTATTCTCCATGCGGGGCTCTTGGGGCTGCATTGGAACACCGTTGGGCCAGCTTGGACCGCCCTGGGCCGTCCTCGGGCAACATTGGTAACATGTTGGGCCATGTGTGGTGCCGCATTGACACAGGGCCAGACGCGCGTTGGTCCGAGCTTTTTGGGGCTCGCTCTGGGCCATCTTGTGGCCATCTTAGGGTCTCGCTTGGAACCCTCTTACGGGCTCGCTTGGAGACCTCTTGTGGCCTTCCTGGGTGGACTTGGGCATCTCTGAGACCGAGAAGCCCAATGGAGCTTGAAGCAGCAGGAAGGTCGAACACACATGTGATAACCCACCCTTTTGGGATATTGGCCAGCGTGGACCGAAGCAGTGCGTTATTGCACTGTGGAGGTGAAAGCTATGCGGTGTAAGCTATGTGGTCAACTATATGTCATTTAAGCTACGTGACGTGAGCTATGGAGGTGAAAGCTGTGCGATGCAAGCTGTGTGATGCAAGCCGTGTCGTGCTAGCTGTGCGGTGTGACCCGCGTTCCCTCCCTCCCTCCTTCCCTCCCTCCTTCCTTCCTCCTCCCTCATCCTCTTTCCTTCCTCTTCCCTCCTCCCATCCTTGCCTCTGCTCTCCGCATGTCCACAATTTCGGCACACCCCTCACAGGTTTCGTGGCCCCATAGGGTGCTCCACCGAACGCCCCAGTGGCAGGGTCCGCATGCAGTTCCACCTCCATTTCGACGTACCCCTCACACGTTTCGTGGCCCCATAGGGAGCTCCACCGAAGGCCCCAGTGGCAGGGTCCGCATGCAGTTCCACCGCCATGTCGGCGCACCCCTCACACGCTTCGTGGCCCCATAGGGAGCTCCACCGAAGGCTCCAGTGGCAGGGTCCGCATGCAGTTCCACCTCCATGTCGGCGCACCCCTCACACGTTTCGTGGCCCCAGAGGGAGCTCCACCGAAAGCTCCAGAGGCAGGGTCCGCATGCAGTTCCACCTCCATGTCGGCGCACCCCTCACACGTTTCGTGGCCCCATAGGGAGCTCCACCGAAGGCTCCAGAGGCAGGGTCCGCATGCAGTTCCACCTCCATGTCGGCGCACCCCTCACACGTTTCGTGGCCCCATAGGGAGCTCCACCGAAGGCTCCAGTGGCAGGGTCCGCATGCAGTTCCACCGCCATGTCGGCGCACCCCTCACACGTTTCGTGGCCCCATAGGGAGCTCCACCGAAGGCCCCAGTGGCAGGGTCCGTATGCAGTTCCACCTCCATTTCGGCGCACCCCTCACACGTTTCGTGGCCCCATAGGGTACTCTCAGAAGCCCCAGTGGCAGGGTCCGGATTTCGGCGCACCCCTCACACGTTTCGTGGCCCCACACGGTGCTCCGTCGAAGGCCCCAGTGGCAGGATCCGCATGCAGTTCAACCTCCAGTTCGGCGCACCTCTCACACGTTTCGTTGCCCCATAGGGTGCTCCGTCGAAGGCCCCAGTGGCAGGGTCCTCATGCAGTTCAACCTCCAGTTCGGCGCACCCCTCACACGTTTCGTGGCCCCACAGGGTGCTCCACCGAAGTCCCCAGTGGCAGGGTCCGCATGCAGTTCCACCTCCATGTCGGCGCACCCCGCACTCTTTTCGTGGCCCCATAGGGAGCTCCACCAAAGGCCCTAGTAGTCGCAGCGCCCGCACGCGGTTCCACCCTGCATTCGGGCGCACCCCTTACACATTCCAATCTGGCTGGGAGGTTGTGATCGCGCTGGGTTTAGTTGTTTGAGCCCACGGGCATGCACTAGTCAGCGACAGCGCTTGGCTCTTCGCAGGTGTGTCAGGCGAGAAGCGGCAGCAATCTCTGACATTTCTTCGCAAGACTTGGGCTGCGAAGCTGGAACCCAACGTCATCGGCTACAGCGCTGGGCAGCGCGTATCAGAAAACGGATAATGGTAACATGCCCTGTCGCTGCTTTGCTGGCGTGTCCTTAGGAATGACCAATCGGACATGCAATAAATTCTTTCCGAGCGGGTGCCCCTGGAAATGTCTTGTGCCGTATATACAGGAGCGCCTGGAGACGTCAACGTTGGCCCTTCTGGCACCATGACGCCTGGGGTGTATTGGGGCGCCTTGTTCGGAGACCTGTCCAGAGCGGAGCTGGAAGAAGCTCTAGAGTCTTGATGGGCGTCCAGCCTGCTGGATTGTTCCTCCCGTTCCCTCGGGGGACTAACACTCTGGGGTCCGCGCGGATTTCTCGGATCGGCGCTGGACCTCCCTCCCTGACGCGCGAAGCGCGCCAGAGGCGCCGCCAGGGGGGGCCCGCGCCGATCCGAGGAATCCGCGTGGACCTCATTGTTTGTTCCGCTATCCCCGCTGGTCGTCGTCGCCGTCGCCGTCGCCGTCGCTGTCGTCGAGGATCGCTATCCCCTCCCCGTGCCCGAACCCTCCCCGGATCCAGACCCCCCTGGGTCCGCACCTCCGCGTGCGTGGACCCGCCCCCCCTGGGTCCGGACCTCCCCCAGTCCGGACCTCCCCGCGCCCGAGCCTTGCTGGCTGCCCCTCTGCTGCCAGGGGCGGCCGGCGTCGGCACGCGGACCCGCGCGGGGCACTGGCGCGGCGGGCGCTGGGGCCAGCGTGGTGCAGGTGCCTTGCGGCTTCAGGCGCCGACGCCCTGCGCGCCCTGGGTCTCGAGGGGGCGGAGGGGGAGAGGGAGGGGGGAGGAGGAGGAGGAGGAGGAGGAGGAGGAGGAGGAGGAGGAGGAGGAGGAGGAGGAGGAGGAGGAGGAGGAGGAGGAGGATTCTGAAGCCTTTTCGGCTCCTCGGAATCCACGTTCCCTCGCTTGCCAGGTTGACGAGGTGCCGGCAGGGCTCTGGGAGGTGTCAGCACACGGGAGGGCACTTGCTGGCCGTCGGGCGGGATGGCGGGGGTAAGTACCTGATTGCAGCCTTGCAGATATACCCTTCCGAGCTCTGCCGTTTCCTTGCAGCAGTTGTTCTGGAGGACTGCCCACCGGGTGTTCAAGACGGGCTCCGAGTGTTCGAGCTACCGGATGCAGCTACCAGGTGTCACGTGCTTCTGGACCCGTACGCGGAGTCCATCCAGCAGCCATCACATCCTGAGCAGACGGGCCTGTAGGCGTCGTGCTCATTCTTCGAAGTCGTTCGCGATAATGCTTCGATTTCATCCATTCAGCAGTGCCGTAGTAGTAGTAGTAGTAGTAGTAGTAGTAGTAGTAGTAGTAGTAGTAGTAGTAGTAGTAGTAGTAGTAGTAGTAGTAGTAGTAGTAGTAGTAGTAGTAGTAGTAGTAGTAGTAGTAGTAGTAGTAGTAGTAGTGGTAGTAGTAGTAGTGGTAGTAGTAGTAGTAGTAGTAGTAGTAGTAGTACTAGTAGTAGTAGTAGTAGAGTCGTCGTCGTCGTAGTCGTCGTCGTAGTCGTAGTCCGTAGTCGTAGTAGTCGTAGTCGTAGTCGCAGTCGTAGTCGTAGTCGTCGTGGAAGCCGTAGTAGTCGTCGTAGCAGCAGTAGCAGTAGCAGCAGTAGCAGCACTAGCAGTAGCAGTAGCAGTAGCAGTAGTAGTAAGTAGTAGTAGTAGCAGTAGTAGGAGTAGGAGTAGTAGTAGTAGTAGTAGTAGTAGTAGTAGTAGTAGTAGTAGTAGTAGTAGTAGTAGTAGTAGTAGTAGTAGTAGTAGTAGTAGTAGTAGTAGTAGCAGCTACTACTACTACTACTACTACTACTACTACTAGTACAGTAGTAGTAGTAGTAGTAGTAGTAGTAGTAGTAGTAGTCGTAGTAGTAGTAGTAGTAGTAGTAGTAGTAGTAGTAGTAGTAGTAGTAGTAGTAGTAGTAGTAGTAGTAGTAGTAGTAGTAGTAGTAGTAGTAGTAGTAGTAGTAGTAGTAGTAGTAGTAGTAGTAGTAGTAGTAGTAGTAGTAGTAGTAGTAGTAGTAGTAGTAGTAGTAGTAGTAGTAGTAGTAGTAGTAGTAGTAGTAGTAGTAGTAGTAGTAGTAGTAGTAGTAGTAGTAGTAGTAGTAGTAGTAGTAGTAGTAGTAGTAGTAGTAGTAGTAGTAGTAGTAGTAGTAGTAGTAGTAGTAGTAGTAGTAGTAGTAGTAGTAGTAGTAGTAGTAGCACTGGTAGAAGTAGTAGGTAACGCCGTGCCCGTTTGGGCCGTGTAGTAGTGAACCGCTGTCCTGAAGATGTGTCGTTGTCTTTGTCTTTCTTTGGCACTGCAGTATTTGCTTTAGAGGGTTACGTGGCCGATGTTGGGTCCCAGACCATAAATTTACCTTAAGAGTTTGACACTCGGTTTTCGGTTTTAAGTTGCCCCCCGTCCATACAATCGAGCATGATGGAAGCGAACGCCGTCTCCGTCTGGGCCCGCCGTGTTCGAATCCGAAGATATTGCATTGCTTTGCATTGGGCTGCTTTGCATTATTTTGCATTGCTTGCATTTGGGTTGCTCAATAGATGTCTGCTGAGGTTGCACTGGGAACTTACATCATGATGATGATGTTGAAGAAGGTGATGATAATGATGATGATGATGACGATGATGACGATGATGATGGTGGTGATGGTGGCGATTAGTATGATGACGATGATGCGGGTGATGATGATGATGACGATGATGACGATGATGATGGTGATGCTGATGTATGACGATGATGATGATGTTGATTACGACGATGATGACGATGACGCTGATGGTGGCGATGATGATGATTATGATGGTGATGCTGATGCTGGTGCTGGTGATGATTGTGATGATGCTGGTGATGATCACGATTCATGACGATGATGGTGGTGATGATGATGACGACGATGATGAAGATGATGTTGATGATGACCATTACGAGGATGATGATGTTTATGATGATTCTGATGATGACTATGATGAGGATTCGGTTGGATTCCTTCGGATTCCTTCGGATTCTTCGCATTCGCTGGCATTTCTTAGGATTCCCTTCGGATTCGATAGCAATCCTTCAGGATTCCCTTCGGATTCCCTCCGGATGCCTAGGCGCTACTACACTTCAGGGATTCCTGAGGCGCGCAAGCGCGAACCCGGACGGGAACGGCGCGCGGTCTGCGCAAGGATTTCTTTGGATTCCATTTGGATTCGCTGAGGATTCGGTAGGATTCCTGAGGATTCCTTAGGATTCCTTCGGATTCGCTACGTTTCCTTAGGATTCCTTTCGGATTCGCTAGCATTCCTTCAGGATTCCCTTACGATTCCCTCAGGATTCCTAGGCGCTACTACACTTCAGGGATTCCTGAGGCGCGCAAGCGCGAACCCGGACGGGAACGGCGTGCGGTCTGCGCAAGGATTCCTTAGGATTCCATTCGGATTCGCTTAAAATTCGGTTGGATTCCTTAGGATTCCTTAGGATTCCGTCGGATTCGCTAGCATTTCTTAGGATTCCCTTCGGATTCGCTAGCGTTCCTTCAGGATTCCTTTAGGATTCCCTCAGGATTCCTAGGCTCCTAGGCGCTACTACACTTCAGGGATTCCTGAGGCGCGCAAGCGCGAACCCGGGCGGGAACGGCGTGCGGTCTGCGCAAGGATTCCTTAAGATTCGCTGAGGATTCGCTGAGGATTCGGTAGGATTCCTAAGGATTTCTTCGGATTCGCTAGGTTTCCTTAGGACTCCCTTCGGATTCGATAGCATTCTTTCAGGATTCCCTCAGGATTCCCTCCGGATTCCTAGGCGCTACTACACTTCAGGGATTCCGGAGGCGCGCAAGCGCGAACCCGGACGGGAACGGCGTGCGGTCTGCACAAGGATTCCTCAGGATTCCATTTGGATTCGCTGAGGATTCGGTAGGGTTCCTGAGGATTCCTTAGGATTCCTTCGGATTCGCTAGGTTTGCTTAGGATTCCCTTTGGATTCGCTAGCATTCCTTCAGGATTCCCTCAGGATTCCTTCAGGATTCCTAGGCGCTTATACACTTCAGGGATTCCGGAGGCGCGCAAGCGCGAACCCGGACGGGAACGGCGTGCGG